TCAGACTTCTACCAAAGGTAACCAAACAAATTAGTAAACTGACCAATTATTAAATATTCTAAACTGGTAAATTACAGAAAATGTTTGTTGAAAATGATTTTTGAGCATTATAAAACATGTAAATATACATCCATCCATTTGTTATCTGAGCCCGCTGGTCCACGCAGGGTTGTGGGGGGGTGGGGGGGTTGGGGGGGGGGGGGGGCCTGGTGCCTATCTCCATAAGTCTCTGGGCAAACAGGTGAGGTACACCATGGACAGGTTGCCAGTCCATTGCAGGGCAACACAGAGACACACATAACAAATAATCAAGCACACACACTCACACCTAAGGACAATTTAGAGAGATCAATCAACCTCACAGTCTTGTTTTTGGACCGTGTGAGTAAATCGGAGTACCTGGAGAGAACCCACGCATGCACAGGGAGAACATGCAAGCTCACTGCAGAAAGACCCCAGGCTGGAATGTGATCCCAGGACCTTCTTGCTGCAAGGCAACAGAGCTAACCACTGCACCGCGGCGTAGCCCGTAAATATACAAATAAATGAAATGTCGCAGCAGCACCAAGCTGCCTGGGGATGTGCCTGACTTTAAATCGGCTTTACTAAGAAGGTAGTATATCGGTCAATGCTGACATATAAAAAATGATAAATATAGGCCCGATGTACTGGCTGACCGATATATCGGTCTACAGTAGATATAATAAATGTAAATTCCAGCAAGGTGGAGGGTAACTGATTAAGATGTCTGCACCTCCATCTGAGTTTAGGTGTTCACCACAGAGAGTTCTGGCAGAACCTATACACTCCAGGTCCAGCTTCCGTTTTCCCACGAAGATGTGGTGATCCGGTGAACAAAAGAGACGAGAGCATAATAGATGACTGTGGATCATTCTGTCATTTGTCTGCTGTTTGAGGATTAAAAGGAGTCTGATCAACATCAGTACCAACAGAGGAATGCAGCTGTAGCTTTGTGCAAAGTGGATCAAAGTACAGGCAAGAGCTTCATACCCGGTAGGAACAACGGATGTGTGGGCACTGAGTCACAGGGCTGAATGTGCCCCGAGGAAAACACCGTACCAGCAAGTCAGGAATTTGAGCCCTTTTCTGTTTCCTGTCCCTAAAACCACAAGACTCTGATAAGCTCCAGAAAGTCCATTAAATATTTAAAAGCTTCCTTCTATCTGTGAACTGGACCCACAACAACTCCACACAAACAAAGAACAGACCACACATCAATCCGTTTAACTCCTAATGGCAAAAAAAGACACAGAGGCTCTCTGTATGGCCTTGCACACATACGGCCTGTGCTCTGCATTTCCCCCTTTTTATCCCCTCACACGTGCAATGAGTAAGCTAGCAGGAATTTCTGCCTTATATGCTTAAAGGGGCAGAGACGTGTTATCCAACATAGCATGCATGCTTTGTGTGTAAATATCAATCCAATATTCAAGAACAAATTTTACGTATTTTTTAAACTGAATAATAGACACAATTCTGGAAATAAATCTAAATAAAAACAAAATTTGCATTCAGCTATTTTGTTTGTTTGTTTGTTTATTAGGATATAATCCAACTTCTAGAAATGTTAGCAATAGCCATTATCTCATCTTCATTAGTGACAGCCCATTTAGATACCCTGACCTACTAACATGTTTGCATAATTAAGGAAGATTTCAAAGAACTTTGTTGTATTAGGTGTTCTATAAATTAATATATGAATTGTTTGTGAATAACTTTAGTGTACTTTAGTAGTTCCAAAATCTAATAAATGTATTTTATCATGAGTCAAAAATGACTTTTAATTGAAATTTAGGTTCATTGAAAAAGTTCCAGAAGCATCCAGATGTTCTTAAAGTATGCGTCACCTTTATTTTTAAGTTCAAATAATTGAAAACACAATTAAATTCATCTACTACCAACATGCATTTTTAAAAACAAATTAATTCAATGAATAAGACCCGAACAGTTTATTTCTCTGCTAAATTTCTGGCTTCATTTTGAGTTCAGAAAGAACAAAGACATCAATTTTTGGTTTAAATTTTTATCTTTTAACTGAAATTTAAAGGTTTGGACAGCAAAATGCAACCCTGTCAATACTTAACTTACTCATATGTCAGCCTAGTTTTGTGTTGTTTCTGGTTTTTTGTGTTTAATAAGTAATTTTCTGTTCTTAAACAGTGCAAAATATCCCTCAGATAAAAGGTCCTTTAAACCCGACTCGTGTCACACATTTGTTGGTAGGTTTGATCTACAGAAAATGTATTCCACTGAATCAGACAGTATAAACAGAACGCAGAGCACCAGCATTCCATAATTTAATACTTCATTTCATAAAAAAACAAAAAGAAAGAAAGAAACACGATCTCTGTGAGAACCTGAAAGAATGTGTGCCTCCCTGTGGAGCTTTGGAGACTAACATGACCAGAGACGGGCCATGTGTCCGGCAGCATGCTTTCTGCTCATCTGACTAATTGTAACAGGCTTTCGTCAATCTGGATTTGGCTGGCGTCCATTGGTGGATGGCAGGCCATCTGCAAGAAAACTCAGATTGGAGGAGGCTCTCTGAGCCAGGCCCAGGCACCTTTAAGTCGCAGGATAATGTCAAAAGACCCAGAGCCCTGGTCAAACAAGTCGTCCACCTGAGACCAACGTGTGAGTGAGAGAATGTCTCCCACAAGTAAATAGTGGCGATATCTGACAGCCTCGGCTGTTAGCAGCCCCTGATAAGCCCTGCAGAAAAGAGTGAGGTGAAAATGGGGCAGGAGACACCAGCCGACAGACTGACAAGGACAATCAAAGATGAGGCTAAGTGAAGTTGAGCATGCCAGTTAAAAGGAAAATGAACAGACACTGTGTACGATGTGAGGACAGCAACAGCAAGGAAGGTGGACGGGGAAGAGGAAAAACAAGGGGGGAGGGAGGGACACAGAGCACTGCCCTTCACAGAGAGCCTTCTGCTGAGCCTGTACGTTTGACATTTGTCTGACATTTTCCCTCAGCACCCTCCCTCCTGTGTACAACGTCTCAGTAAGGGCTTCTCTCTCTCTGTGGGCATCCCTGCCTGCCTCCCTACACGCTGGACTCCCACTCACTTCCATGCGGTCACCGCGTACGACATAAACCTACCATACTCCGCTCAGACTCACACAAGCGTGTGCTTCTGAGATCTAACGCTGCTACAACCGCTGCAAGAACCATTGTCTGAAAACCGGACAGACACATGGAGAGAAAAAAAGAGAAAAAAGATGTTTTCGATGCTCTGCAAAAGCCCAAAGGCAGAGGCATTTAACCAGCAGACAGCACTCCTCCTCATGTAGGGTAATTAAAGAGGAGACCAGGCTGTATTCACTAGAAAACCACTGTGTGCACTTGAAGGAACATCTGTACTGGAGAAAAACAAGGCAATTATGCAAAGGGGAGGAGGGAGAAGAAGGAGGACTTAAACAGGAAGGATAGAACATTCACGTCAAGTCTTTAAAACAACTAAAGGTAGGAAATGTTCACCCTGATCCGTCACCCAGTCAAGTCTTCGGTTTATAGACCAACCTGTAGCTTTCTAAAGCTTTTATCTCTAATCTGGAGACCTCACAGCCCTCATAGATGAATGTGTTTACCCTGACCTCAGCCTGGGCCTCAAACTGATCTAAACAATACTCCTGCTCTCAGGTCTGCTGCATGTGAACACACAGTTTCACCACTAAAACACTGCATAGAGGAGACTGTGGGAAGGGTAAACGTGACTGAAGCATTCGATTCCCAAACCTTTCACAATGTTGCATTGTGATAATATGCTAATTCTTTTTTTTAACTTCAAGATTAAAATAATGCAACATTCTTATTAATCCTCATTGTTCTACAGCTTGCAGGAAAGTCCAGCGGCCCCTGCATCTAAAAATAAACAAAGACAATAAACACCATAGTAATTCTAACAGAGGAAAAATGCAGGTTTTATTTCCACTTTTTGTTCTGCGGGGAAGGGGTTTGTTTGTGAATCGGAGCTGTCCATGAGACCTGCACAAAGCTTAAAGAACAAGAGCGAGGGGTGGCTGAGGGAATGCGTTCCCACAATTATTTCACATAGATGAGAGAACAAAGGAAACGGAACAGAGCGTAATCCCACTTAAGTGTTTTCACCACAAAATGCTTCTTTATCTGCGGAGTTATGGTTTAATACGCTTGTTTTGACTCCACTCAAGGCCGACTCTGAGGTAAAAAGTCACTAACATCCTGGTATTAAGGACGCATAAGGTGAAAACTCACATGGGTAGAATGAAAAATAAAGTCGAACATGAAGGGTTGGAGGGTGTCCAGAGAAGCTCGGAGATCTCATTTAAGTTTGTTGGATGCAAATTAAATGAATGGAACCAGATTTTATATAAAAACTAATTTACCCCAAAAACTGTTCCATTACAGTAACTATCCACTCGAACATAACAGAAAACTTGTTTAAAAACATCAAAGCCCATAATTCATGACCCTTACACTGGGCCAAAGTTAAGCAAGGATGACCCTCCTCAGGTTTTTTCAATAAAACCCTTTTTCACAAATTGCAAAATGTCCCCCTGGCAAATATTTAGCTGACATGGTCCAGACTGCTAGACTACCTCATTTCTTGGCATCCCTCCTTTAACCTCGACTGAGCGCATCGCTCCCTCTCTCTCTCACCCTACTCTGTCTGTACCTCTCTCTAATACCTGGTGCTGAATGCTGCAGCCATCCTTCACTCCACAAATAGCCTGATCTAAAGACAAGGTCTCTGTAATAAACATAGAGGAAATGCTTTCACTGGCCCGTGGACAATCCTGCAGCCAAGAGGGACGCAAAGGAAAAACCCCAGCATAAGTTGGTGGGACTTGCTCGTTGGTTAAGGTTTTGCCAACTTCTAAATGTAAAGCAACCAGTCTTGTTAGCATTTACTCCATTTGTGTTGCAAATCAAAAACTCCAACGTTTAGCCTCGAGTACGTTCTTGCTTTAGAACAGGAGAGGTCAGGTTACCTTTCTGGCACTGGTTGGATGTCCAGCAGCGGTAGTCGTTGTTGTCGTTGATCGATGTCCTCTGACACAGAGAGTTATCCCCCATGATGCCCGGGCAGACGTTGTCACACTCCTTTGCCTTCTTGTTCCCAGTTATAACATTATTAACCTCAGCGTCCATAATCAGCGACCAGTCCACCGAGTCCAGGTAGCAGAGCTCTGGGTTCTTCTCAATCCGCACGGCTCCACGGGTGATGTTCCTCAGGTTGTACAGGCCAATGTCCTTCAGGCTGGTCATCTCGTAGACCACCAAAGTGAAGCCGTAAAAGACGTTACGCCCTCGTATGACGCTCAGGTTGGGAAAGAGTATGCTGAGGCTGTCCAGGCCCGAGACACGGAACAGCAGCAGGTAATCGGTGATGACGGTCAGCTTTGGGAAACTAAGTGAGCGGAAGACCTCCTGGTTGATGTTACTCGTTTTTTCATTAATTAAGAGGATCTGTAGGTAACCTTCCACCACAGTGCAGTTCTCAAGACGTTTGAATTCGCTGATGTCATTTCGGATGTCAATACTCGGGCTGCAGACTGAAAAACACAGAATGGAGATGTGTTAGGGCAAAAAGTTACGCATTTTCTTTAACAGAAACAGAGGAAGCACAGGTGTTTGGCCTCATTTAGATTCGCATATGGATCACTTTTGCCAAAAATTTTGATTACAGTAATCTCCTTGAAGCATATAATCCTGTTAGTCAAGATGGTGAGCCTGGCAGAATGCTTGACAGAGATCTGGAAGTGCATGTACACCCCTAGAACACCAGGTCTATTTTATAAAACAATCATTGGAGCGGAGGACTGGTAATGGAGTCTCTACTGAGATGCACGTTAACATGTTCTCATTTCTTTGATGTCACAACGGATACAAACACCCCTGACTTTGCTGTAAAATGTTATTGTCAGTCACCTCAAATAACCTCAACATGTGCGTGAGCCAATTCTCTGAGCTTGGAAAACAACACTTGAAACCACAGCGCTGGGAGCGTCCGCTGACAGCACACTCACAGTCCTTAACAACAAAGACGCCTTTTATTATTGATGGCAAAGTCCTCTGCCAGTTATTGCGTGTAACTATGAACTGCAAAGAGAAACAATGCTTTAAAAAGTGAAGAGCGAAAGCTAAAAAAAAACTCAACTCCTCAGTTCGATAACTCCTAGTTTTGATACTATTTAGATGAGCAAGGTTTGGGTATTATGATGCTATCTTCCAAGCATGGAAAAATGTGTGAACAAGTTTTGACACAGATGCAGTGACTCACACCATGACGGTGATCACATAAAGAAAAAGAGCCTGGGAATAGAAGGAACCTTTTTAGGATGAGGAATCCAAACTTTGCTTGTTTTATCAATCCTGTGACTTTTCTCTCATTCGCACGAGCCCAAAACATGACTTTTTCTTTTCAAAAAGAAAAGTTAAACTGTATATGCACATGATGAGAGGATTTCCAGGTAATTTAATATTGATATTTCTTCAGCTGTTAAAGCTATAGGGAGTCCAAGTCATGCCCATCTACATCCAGATGTTCCGAAGAACAAAAAACTGAATGCAAGTCAATAGGGCTATAAGCGCTATGTTCTAATCCCGATTGTTATGTGCCATGGATTTCACGTATGATGTCCATGAATTTTGAAGGGGAAGCAGCTTTGGCTTGCTTTTTGAACCCCCCCTAGAGTCCAAACCAAAAGCAAAACCAAATTTCCTCACTGTGCGTTTGTCTTTTTAACACCTTGATCTAACGGCTGAAATGTCTCCCTGGCCTTCCTTAGTGTCTACAGGAGTGATTCATCACTAAATTAAACAAATCAGTTGTGTTTGTGATCTAAAACATGCAGCAAAAGCGCTAGAATCAGACTGCAGCACCAGGTATGTCAGTTCATTTTTTTCTAAGACCAAACGGAGTGGCCCGCCAGTCTGAAGTTGAAAAAGGAATATTCTGGCCACTGGGGGTGATAGGGGCCGGGTGGCTTTTCATTTAACCCTGTAACGGGTCATTTCAGCACATATCTGGCTCAAGAAAATTATTTAAAAATAGGAAACATTTGCTAAGTATCATTTTAAATACATATCCTTTTGATGCTAAGAGTGCACTTATTTTTGAACAGGGGGAAACGTTATTTTAGGTTTTATGCACATTACTAAATTGTTCCAGAGAAAAATGGATGTAAGTTCAGCAAACTTCTAATCTTTCCCTCAGGAAGAAAGAACCACCATAAGTTACCATTACCATGTGGTAAGTAGCAGCTACGCTGGGGGAGAGGAGATTATGTGGTAATGTCATATATGCGACATACCAACATCTGATTTGTAGTTACGCCAATTGCAAACATTTACAAGCTGATAAATCTCGAAGTTCGTGAGTGGCGTGGACGAAACACACATTATTACTTTTCATTTAAAGTGAAGTGTGATTCGGGACGTAAGGCTAAGCAAATTAGAAAGTTGAGTTGCATTAATTTTTTCATTCTTTCAAGGACCCATGAGCCGATTGGAAAGGGAGGAGACTTACCCCTACTGCACACTGGAAGCAAAAGCGAGCTCTGTGATTGTTGCGAGTAAACCGTTCCACTGTTGTTCCGCGCCGCTTTTGCTTCCAGTGTGCAGTAGGCGTTAGGCTCACTATAACTCTCTCACAGACTGATATCATTTCAGTCTCTGACATTTGAATTGTAAACTTGACCAGGAAGTGTGATTTCCACAGTGATTAATGCAAACTTTATTTATAAAATGTGACGCTTCTGGAGCATCCAGGGTTTAATGTCAAAATGTTATAATGTTTGGTCTTGGTTGTGCTCTAGTCATTAGCTCTTCAGTCCTATTTTGACATGAACAGTTTCTCCAAACTGCAATAATTTAGGAAAGCATTATGTTGGTAAGACAGATAATTTATCATTTTTACCCAAAAACAAACTTCCAAATGTCAGTGTAGTATTTCTAATGTATGAATGCTGCAACACCCAAAAATGCTGATTGTTCCTACACATCTCAGGCTTTCTGAGAGGATCCATTTAAAACCACACAAGGTTAAATCAGTTAGGTTCATTTGCAGTTATTATCAGCAATTTAGTTCCAAATATTAGAAAACTAACTGTATTATTTTCAGATTTTAACACTTTTGACAATGTGACACCAAAATATGACATGTTCCCCTCTTTGCTTGCACTGCTTCAGAGGTCAAACTTCCAAAACCAAACTCCCTTCATTCGATTTGACTGTAAATTTGAAAACATCACAAATAAATGTCCTACATTTTCATGTCTAATTAATCATTATCTAGACTGCTAACACTTTTTCCAAATAATGTATAAATGTGGTTCTGGGTCACAGTCATACAGTAAAACTGTAACATTCATGTGAATTCGGAGCAGCACTTATCTGAAAAGGGCCAGAAAATTAGAGAAATCTGAAAGATAAGACAATGAGAACGCTTCAGGAAAAAACTAAATTAAAGAAAAAGTCAAAATCTTTTTTTCATTTAATATTGTTGCATGCGTCTGTTGGCTTTAAGGTTTAATTTAAATGCTAACAAAATGTTTCGAATATAGAAAATAAAGCACTAAAATGGAAAAACAGACTTCAAAATATTTAGATTTTGTTATGTTTAGGCACTAAATGGTCACCTTTAAGCTTTCATTTAGTTCTTTAATGAAAGTAAAGACTAGAAGCAAACAATAACTATTCATTTCTCTGCCTATTCATTGTTATATATATATATATATATATATATATATATATATATATATATATATATATATATATATATTTATATATATATATATGTATATTAGTCTTTAAAAACTTTGCTGCTTTAAATCCAATTTAGAGGATTTATCCATTAGTCATTTAAAACATTCATGTAGAGTTTAAATAAATATTTTTCACACCATATTTACAGAAAGAAGAACCATTTAATTGAACTGAATTAATTTACCCACTTTTTTATTTTTTATTTCGAGGCTAATCCAACATCTCACATCTCACCACAGTGTGATAACGAAAATCCAAAATGCTGAAAAGCTAACATTTATTTCAAAACAAAAGCAAAGAAAATGAATCTAAGTACAATAAATGGTAACGTGGGAAGAAAATGAATGCTAACTATTTTAGTCTTGTCTAAAAGAAGGTTTTACAACCGGAGCAGGAAGCGCCGACATTTGAGCTCCTCGGTTAAACTTGTTATGTTCTTACAGAAGCTTAGGATGCCGCTGCAGAGACTCTGCCACATCACCTGTCCCATGAGGGTTTCATACTAATCAAAACACAATCTGATCAAAATAAAAATGTGAAGGAAGCAGAAAGAAAGTTTCCAAGCCAGGACAAACACTGGGGGTGTTTTATGAAAAAAATGAAACAGGGTTTCAGACAAAAGTGACTACATTTGACGTATTTAAACCCTACAAGTGCATTGAAATTGTTTGTAAAAGCAGCGTTTGATCTGTTCTGCTGAAACCTTTCAGGACAAAAATAGAATCCACGTTGTTTTATGAGGATGAACGAGCTATTTTTGCTTCTGACTGGGTGTTTTAGTCATCTACATTTAGAACGGAAACAATTACTCCCGAAGAAAATAGTATTTGCTTTCTCCAATCAACACCAATGCCCCTGGGCTCCACTTGAGAGCCATCGAGCTGCACGTCTTCTTTGTTTCATTGAGAATTTTCTTCCAGCTTCTCCAGCAGCCGGGGAGCGAGGGGAGGAGGAGGGGTGGAGCCACTCGGATACAAAGGCTAATTTGTTTGTTAGTAAAGAGAAGCTCTGGGCTCCACTTCCTGATGAGGGCATTAATAAAATCAGGGGCGTCTGGCCAGGGAAAGATAAGATTTTAGCCAAGCCAAGCTATCGAGAGGCCACGCTGGTGTGAAATGGCTGCAGCAACACAAATGTTATCTTTTAAATGTATTTCTGGATTTTCATCCCAAAAAACATAAAAAAAGGGCTGGGAAAGCGAGTGCAACAATAAAGAGGAATGATAAAACCCTCTTAATCTGCCTGTTAGTCATGTTAAAGACCTGGAATTCCAATCATTTCTTTGCACAAAGACCAATTTGCCTCCAACTAACCCTGCAGGCTTGACTGACTCCAGAAAATTCACTTGTTAAAAAAAGCATCATTCAAAAAAAAAGTACCATATTTCAGCACCATGGTCCACACAAAGTGGCATCCTGCACACGTCTGTCTCCCTCCTGCGTCTCTTTGCTCTTCACACTGCTGAGTAAACACACATATCTCTGCAGCGTAACAAGATCCATCGGCTCATGTTTATGATTGATAAACCCTGCCCTGGCCCTCTGTGGAGATGTCAACACACAAACACATACACACACACACCTGCAAAAGCACACACGCACAGGCAAACATGACCCCTCTGCACACCTCCGTTAAAATTAAACCAAATAAGCCAATGGTTGCCGTTTGTCTTCGAGTCCCATAAAATCCGATTCCCTGACCAGTAAACACGCCCTGGTAAATAATAAACTCAATCTCAGTTTAGGCAGACAGTGAGAGGACTGAAACTGAGACCTCACGCAGCTCTGTTTATTTATGGGACACAAACTGAGCATTCTGAGGAAGCATTTAACTGGGTCCTCGAGAAAACATCCAACTAATAAACTCCAGAAAAGTTGTTAAAAAATTCCTCCCACCAGCGTTTCGGCTGAGGACTTTTGTTGATTTTTATGCCTGGAGATTTTTGAGGTCCTAAAACTCTGGTGGCCTTGGCAATCACAGTGAAATGTAGAGCTGATTCTCAACCATGTTTAGAAGATATGTTGAACGTAAAGGGGCCATTACTCACCCTGGCCTCTGCTTAACTATGCCACAGTTTCACTTTTTTTTTAAATCAGGTTTACTCATATTTTTATACATTTGCTCTAGTAGGAATAAATGCCTTGTAAGTGGTTCTTTGGGGAAAACAAGCTCTGGTATGACTGTTTGAGGACGTAGAAATCAGCCAGATGAGAAAGTGGCAGAAGGCGGCCCAGAGTCTTACTTCCTGATATTTAGAAATCTCGCCTCTGATTGGATAACAGCAACACTAACTGCTTTTTCTTTGCAACATTGGTGTTTTATCTCCACAAATAACTCAATTCTGGAGGAGTTCTGCTCTGTGGTGGAGTTGCTAATGCTAATGATTAGCCTTTACTAGCTGAGGCGTTCCCTGCTGTTTCCTGGATGCTAAAACAACAACAGCCTTCCCCATCATGAGTCAAAATGATTGAGACCACGAATGTTAAGTGACAGTGTGACGTAATTCTGTCAGGCTTTTCTGACCCGAATGTTTTACTATCTTTTTCTATCAGAAGCTAATGCAGGAGATAGGTGTAGGAGACCTTCAGGCCTGCATGAAAAACTCAGAGTGACAAGTCATTTTAAAATATAATAAGTCAAAAATGGTTTCTCGGTGAACATGCTTTTTAAAGGTCAACTTCACTGGAAAAACATTTTTAACTATTAGTTCTGATTATAAACTCTGTTTGTTATACAGGCTGAACTTGAAAATAGTCTTCTATTTCCTGCATTAGCTTCTGATAGAAAATCGATAGTCAGTGCTGTTACATGAGCACTGACCGACATCTAAGTCGATTCAGGTCAGTCTTATTGTAACAAGCTGGGAGTCTTTATCCTAGTTTACATGTGCATTAAAAAAATCGTCCTCTGAAATAAAGTTTGTTCTACTCCGGTACAGTAGGTGGCGACATGCCCCTTTTCATGTCGGCACTTTCCCGGTTAGCAACACAAGCAGTAAACAGAGAATGGCGGGAGTGAAGCAGATGGCATTGAAACAGGATGTGCACAATAGCTGAAGAATATACAACAACAAAGCTGCAGCACAGCTTATTTGGTATGTACTGTCCTGTTTTATAGTGTTATGCGTGTTGCTTTGTGATGATGGTCTTGTCAGAAGACCGCCTCCGTGGTCTCGTCACTTCTGTGACGCGAGCGTCCTACCGCTTTAGTTCGGCTGACCCGTTTACATGCATTTGAATTGCTACCACATTATCTGGGTGCTTCAGCTCGATTAGAACCAGTTTGTCTTCAGCCAGACTAACATGTTTACATGCAATTAAAACAACCAACGTGAATCTTTTTAGAGTAGCATTGCTGTTAGCCAATCCAAGGCGAGCTGTCCAAATATCAGGAAATGAGTCTCCAAATCCTGTCGTCTGAAGCTACTTTCTCCTGTGGGCACACAGGAGCTTTTTTTTTTTACCCTGAGAATGACTTACAAGGCATTCATTCCAACTAGAGACCACTGCAAGTGTATTAAAACTATGAATAAAGTAGATCTTTAAGTACATTGAAATATGTCGCTTTTGAGATTTTGCAAACGTGTTCATTGACGCAAAACAAATCAAGTGCTGGATTTCTCTCTTCAAACTGAGGGAGGTTTGTCACTGTGTCATCACATCACCTCGCACCTGCCACATCTACAGGCCCTTAATTCGCTGCATACTAGAAGTCATCTGACCAGCGGTCTGGTGGGGCCGCTTCCCCTCAACGGACCTCACTTCAAACACTGCAGCTCAAATATCACCGAGACCCTAAACAGTAACTTTACACTCAACCATCATATCAACTCTCACACAAGGAACCCCCCTGCCCTCCCCTCCCCATCCCACCACTACCACCCCTCACATATGAGAGGAGGAGGTGAGCAGCATTACAAACCAAGTAAAAAATATGCCTGATTATGGATACAGGGGAGGGAAACGTCTGTAGAAGCCTTACAAAATCACTGAGAAGCAATAAAACGATAAGAAACAGGAAGCAAGCGTGAGAATGATCCCTGCAAACACTTCAGTATGGACATATCTGACAGCGCTCATCTCATAAAGTGGGTAACATCCATTTGTAATCATTGCACAGACTGTAAAATACTCTGCGGGCCATTAAAGCAGCAGGCAATGAAGATGCATGTGCAGTGGGTCAGAGACTGCATCTGAGCAAGTCCAATGACATGCCACTTAAAATAAAATGTTTAATTAAGCATTGTAAACCTCTGCTGGCAGCCCAGAGGAGCTACAGGGCAGCTTTTCATAAATAGCCCAGTGACACACTTTCAGATCTTTACTCTGAGGTGCTGGTACACACTAAAAGACAAATGTGCACCATGGCAGAGCCTGGAAACATTTCCTAGTGCTTGTTTTTTGCAAGTAAGCAACCTTTGCAGAGAGGTGATGGATGGTGGAGGAAGGTGAAGGTGGAGGCTGTGTCGAGCGAATCACAAGGCTGAAGGGAGTGAGGGATGAGGGCGGGGATGGGGAAAGGGAGAATGACAGCAGTCATAGCTGAGCTGCGTGCCCTGTCATGACATAGAGAGCTGAGCTGCAATATGCCGGACCCAGAAGGGAAAGGTCAAAGAGGAGGATTACCTGTCAAACATGACGCTTGCTGACGTTTGGTTATTTGTCTGACTCCTTTGGGTTTTCTCAGGCCGTGTGTTCGTTTATAAATAACTGAACAGGAACGCCGGCATGGAGCAGGACTCGCACAACCCCTGCTGCTGGTGAAACTTTTATTACCTGCATTTGTGCTGCTGTAGAGAGGAAGCTCAGAGCATCACTCCATGGAGGAGACCGCTCAACAAACACACCAGACAGCTGGTAAACTCAAACCAAGTGTTGCTGCAAGTGTATTTATGCACAGTCTATTTCCAAACACCAACTCCATCATCCTCGCACCCTCTCCATCTTTTTTAGACGCTTGCACGCTTGGAAGCCGTGGCATGGAAAGTCTGCTGCGGTGAGAGTTAAAAGGGAGCCTAATTGCATTTTATTGGTGTGGACAGATATCAAAACGAACAGGAAATTTTTAACCCCAAATAGAGCTCTCACAGATTTGTGATTTTCCACTAAGTGATGACAGAAACTGGAAACTCTGAACCTCTGCAGCCCATTAAAGTAAACATCATCTCCTAGGGGCAAAGCAGATCCTGATACTTTCCACAGTTTTTATCACTGAATTCTTTGTTGGTGAAGGCCCTGTGTGTTATCCAGTGCCGATCTGCATCAATTCAGTCCTCTGCGTGTTCAGTAGTCTTTGACTGATCTCAGAAGGGTTTAAATAACACATCTGAGGTCAGATCGCTGGTCAGCAGGAATAAGTAAATATTTCCATCTATTTGAATGCTAATAAGGGTCAGTCTGCATGCCTTCTTCCCATGCCTGAGTGGAAAAAAGTATCAGGAAAACACAAGAATGCAAACTATTCAATTCAGTAAAACTGAAAACTACATTAATTTTGAGATTTTTTATTGTGTCCCCAAACAGTTCAGGTGCTCCTTCCATTCAATGTGTCAATTATTAAGTTTTCACAGGAAGTCTGATTAATCTTCAACCATGAGGATAAACTGATGTTAATCACTGAACAGAAAGGAGCTGCTGTTATTGACTCGAACAGCTGACAGAACAACAGTTAACAAAAACGTACCTGTGCATTTAAATGAATTAAAATAAACTAAATTCACAAAATGGGTAAAACGTATATTTGCAGTTTACAGCCCTACAGGATAATACACGTTCAGTACTGTGTCATACAAAAGTTAAAGACTATATTTTTGTACCTGTCATTTTAAAATCACAGATGTGATAAAAACTCCGGAATTTGTATAATAAACTGATAGAAATGATAGATTTAACACGTTTTATGTGATATTTGTGATTATTTTAAATCTCTGCTCGTTTCTGATCCACTGTGTGTGAGTTTAATGTGTTAAAAAGAGCAGAGGATTGTCTGAATTTGGCTGTTCATGCGCAGCGAGGCCACACTACAAAATGCAAAATGGCCACATGGTCGTAGTAACCTTCAGCTCCGCTCTCTGGATTCATCCTCTGCCTCATGGCGACTTTAAAATAAATAAATGGGAGAGCTACGATTTAAAAGATCCTCCTGTGTGCTGGGATAAAAAGGGGTTTATCTGCTAAATAACATGTGGACGATTTAGTGGCTTTTGTCCATTTTAACGCACCACATGGTCCTCTTTGAATATAAAATGACTTAATAAAAAGTCTATTTTTAATTTTGTTTGATCATCAGATTCAAAACTAATCCCTAATGTTGAATACTATTATTAATTATTTGACATACAACCTTTTAACTGGTTTGTTTTTCTCCACCAGCCGGGAGGAGGATTCTGAAGAGGTTAAACCAGGTAACCAAACGCGCGCCCCCTTCTTCTGTTTTCCAGGCCTCATTCTGATAAAGCAATAAATTCTGGCATTAAAACAAAACATAATGAATACTTACTCTCTCCATATATGGAGCTTATGTGGATAGTGGAGATAGACAGCAGCAAACCCCAAAACAAGGTCAGGCTACCCATGGATGGTCCTGATCTCTCGTTCCAGATCATTATTTTCCTCTCAAAAAAGAAAATAAAAAGAAAAATGTGGGTATCAAACGAAAACTAAAGAAAAATGTTGTACACATCCACTTCTGTAAAAAGAAGGAACATGATAAATGCATGTAGCCTAAAAAAGGGAGGGGGTTCTCTTTGGCAGTCTGTGTATCGCGTTAAAATATAAATAAATGCGCACAAGTGATAAAAAATGGGAGTTTTCTTTAATTACTTAAAATGTCTGCTATTTTTGCCAATCACTGTGCACTTTGGCTGGTGTGGCACGCAGGCCAGTGTTTCTCCTGGATAAATGATGGTAATCCCCATCTTCATTCTCCATCTCCTGAAAACAGCAGTGCGCGTCCAGGGCAGGCGGTAACGGTACAAATATGTTGCCTGGATGCTTTTATCAGCTGCCTTTAGAAGAATTAAAGCCACAGCCTTTCACAGGAGTCCCCCTGTGAGAATGGATGGGGATGATGGGGATGATGAGGAGGAGGAGGAGGGGGGCAAAAAAACACGTCCAGATCCACAGGGGTGGTGGCTGGGTGGCTGGGAAATGAATGAAAAACCTTCCTTTTTGTCCTTCTTTGTGCCACTAGGCTAAAACGGGGTTTAGGGGTGTAAGGAAGCCGTGTTGTAGTTGTTTTAAACCAATTTCTCAGCTCCTCCGCTCGGACGTATCCCTGCCGGATTTGCAGCTGAAAGAAAATACCAGACTTGTGCCACGCAGGAGAATGGGTCTCCAGCTAGACGACCTCGGCTGGGGTGGGAGGGAGAAGTGTGTCCACGCAGTTGCCCTTAAGAGTGTTTCTTGTCTTTCTTCGCTTTTATCCCCACGTAAACGAGAAAATAAAAGAAAGATGAAGTACAATCTTGTATAAATCCAGAGGATGAAATCACGCGGCTCGCCCTCGGTAAACGCAGGCTGCGGGTCTCTCTCGCTCTCTCTCTCTCTCCTCTAAACAAGAGTCAGCGTCTCACACAAAAACACATAGCTCCACGGATAAGGTGGCCGCGAGCAGCACGGAAAAACCGGACTGGATTTACGCACGGTGGAGGAACACGGCATCCCGGAGCGCTCAAATCCCGGGAGCACCGACGATCTGCAGGGGCGTTAATGGCTGATAAAACACCGGGGGCCAAGCCCAACTTAAGGGCAAATTTATCGATTTCAAATTAATTCATTGCTGAAATTGATTTCATTGATTTTGATCAGTTGTATTAGTATATAGAAATGAAATAAATATTAAAAACATATCCTTAAAGGTATGGTGGGTAATTATTCTTAATTTCAGGAAAGAACCACCCATGTTTTGAAAATAATGCACTTGAGAGAGAACACCCAATTATCCTCGAGCAACCTCTGTTTACAAGTAGCTTCCAGCCTGGCAGCTAACTTCTTCTAGCAGTAATCTGAAATGAATTTCTCCAAATAGAATGCCAAACTTTAGCTTACCTGTTGAGCAGATAAATGGCGAGAGAGGCGTGTGTGGGAAGGCCAACATTCCCTTTACGCATGAGCAGGAAGTGAAAACTATCCAGCAACAAGCACGTACAACGATGGACTTGTGTGAAGGGTTGACCAGAATGATTGACATTTATGCAAACATATGGTTCAGACGATGTACTCGGGAGAAAAAGATCCTCCGCTATACCTTTAACTTTGTTTAGTGCCTTTAATCTCTATTTGGAATAACCCAGCCTTTTCACTGGGCACGTAAGCAGCACATCATAGACTTGTTTAACCTGTGAGCTCCATTCCAACTGGGAGCGTTTCAGATGTGAAAAAACAGCAAAAGAACTCCACATAGCGGGTCCCATAAGGTCACAAAATCCAACTAGAATTGCAACACCACGTGTGATTTCAGGATAGCACGATAACAAGCAAATATGGCAGCCTGTTTTCAAAAAAAGGTTTGTGGTTAATTGTCTGCTCTGTTTACCTCAGCTCTGAAGGTTTCACAGGAAAGAAACTGGAAATCTGCATGTGACTTTTATTTTTGAAAGTTTAAGGATATTTTACACTGCTTTTGCGTTTAAATCTGAACTGCAGAGTTTGATGCAGTCTGGAAGTGTACCATTTAAAAAACAGACATTATGCTTCACGGCCAGTGGAATTGCACTAATCCACTGTAATGGCGGCTAATTTCTACATCCATCCATCCGTCCGTCCGTCCATCCATCCATCCATCCATTTTCATCCGCTTATCCGGAGTCGGGTCGCAGGGGCAGTAGCCTAAGTCGAGAGGCCCAAACTTCCATCTCCCCAGCCACTTGGGCCAGCTCCTCCGGGGGAATCCCAAGGCGTTCCCTGGCCAGGTGAGAGACAGAGTCCCTCCAACGTGTCCTGGGTCTACCTTTAGGCCTCCTCCCGGTTGGACGTTCCTGGAAAACCTCACCAGGGAGGCGTCCAGAAGGCATCTTGACCAGATGCCCGAGCCACCTCACTGGCTCCTCTCGATGTGGAGGAGCAGCGGATCTACTCCAAGCCCCTCCCGGATGACCGAGCTTCTCACCCTATCTCTAAGGGAAGGCCACTCTGCAGAGAAAACTAATTTCGGCCGCTTGTATCCGCGATCTCGTTCTTTCGGTCACTACCCAAAGCTCATGACCATAGGTGAGGGTAGGAACGTAGATCAACCGGTAAATCGAGATCTTCGCCTTCTGACTCAGCTCTCTCTTCACCACGACAGGCCGGTACAATGCCCGCCTATCGAGCTCACGCTCCAGTTTTCCCTTACTCGTGAACAAGACCCCGAGACACTTAAACTCCTCCACTTGGGGCAGGACCTCATCCATGACCCGGAGAAGGCAATTCTACCCTTTTCCGAATCAAGACCATGGTCTCAGATTTAGAGGAGCTGATTCTCATCCCAGCTTCTTCCCACTCGGCTGCGAACCGCTCCAGCGAAAGGTGAAGATCACGTTCTGATGATGCCAACAGGACCACATCATCAATTTCTGCATACTACATTTAATAGATGTTACACAGATGTCTACACGGCACATACACACCCAGTGGAAAGGCCCAGTTAGTTGGATGTCATAAACACAAAACAGAACAAATAATTTACTTGGTAAATAAACAAGTTTTCTTAAAGAAAAGCATAAACAAATCATATGAGGTTCATTTTTGAGCAAATAGCAGTACTTAAAAGAATTGATGCAGTAAAATAAAATTTGTCCCATTAGGAAAGAGAAGGATTCTTATCTGTAATTGAGTGCAACCCAATCCTGATCAAGCGCAATACATGCTAATGATTACAGCTGCACATTAAAAGACACCAAAACTCATGTTTTATCTTTACATAACTGCACCGTAAAAAGCATTGTTGGAGTTTAATCTGAAAACGTTTTCTTCCCCAAAAAATATTTTATTCAAAATGTCTTGTTTGGAATACACAAACACCCAAACAAAATAACATGATCTAGAAATAGAAACAAAGAGAGACAAGATTCCTAGTGGAAAAAGTAACAAAAGTAGCCCACGGAATATTTTATATTAAATTAAAAATACAATCACTTGTTTAATTATTTAAAAATGCAAAATCTAAATTTTACCTCTAGAACTTAATTGGTTCGGGAAACCATGTGCTAATAATTACTTTGAATATCAGGGGAATACATCATTATTTGAAGGACTACTTTAAAATTCATTTGCTTTTTGTATTTAAATAAGTTTATTTCAAGCTAAACTCTCAGCTCCATCAAAAGCATCTTTGCAAAATACACTAGATCTAAAAGTCACATAAGTTAAATAGAAAAAAATGAACAGTGATTTAAATAAAAATTCATGAACATTTGACCTGAGAAATTATTATAAAGTCACAGAAAAGTATTAAATGGCTGCTTTGTTTGGAGTGTTTCTGAGATAATGGTGTTGTTGCTGCTGGAATAAAGTTGTAATACTGTTTAACGCTCAGAAGAAATACCAAAGCTTATGCTGCACTACACAACATCCTGAATGTTAAAAAGAAAATCCGGCATGGAGCAGGATCTACCTGCTCTTATTTTTCATTTATTCCAAGCAAAAACCAGAGTCTGCTCGTCTTCATCTTGATGCTTCTATGAGTCAAATTTTGATGACATAAAAAATAAATGTAACAGTTGCAGAGTGAAACATAAATGTTTGTTCATTGTGTGCAAATTTACAAACACAAAGCCTCAAGTTAAGTTTTTACAAAGTTTTATGAATATACTATTGTTAAAATATCCAATAACTACAGTTTGCATATTGCAAACTGTAGTTATAAAGAGGATGAGATACATGTATGCACTTTAAAATGGGATCTTGAGCTGCAGGTTTTCTGAAATCCAATTAATGATCAGAAAACAGCTGAAAGTAAAACAAACAAACAATAATATGACCTCCTTTGCAAAATAAATACATTGCATTTCTTTGACACATATTTTGTGCTCCCAGTTTAAAGATTTCTTTAGAAAATAGAAACTTTTACTGTGGTTAAACTAAAGCGCTCAGAGCTCGTTAGTGTTGGTCTGCTGTCCCCTACAGGACCAAAAGGCACATTACAAAAAATGTAAAACGTCTAGTTTAAACAACATAAATACATTCACATCCTTAAATTTATGTGACTGTGTATTTTACAGATATGATTGTATAATGTCATTTTGTATCTAAAACATTTTATTTTACATTGTAACCGGTTTATTTTTTATGATAAAAGAAAATATGAAACAAAACTTGCAAGCAAAGTACATAATTTTTTTATAGCTTAAAACATAAACAAAAATTTTAATAGTTTAAAAATGTGTCTATTACTGTATAATTAGTCTTAACTCGTGTTTTACATTCCTTACGTTTATTCTTGTTTGGGGAATTTATTCCATTGATTTTAATTGTTGCTTAAAACATAGCTTTGATGATAACAATGAAAAAATCCTATAAATAATAAATAAATAAATGCTATTTCTACATTTTTCTATAAGGAATAAAAAACACTTTTTAAGCTTAATTACTTTTTCTTAAATTAAATTCACATTCATAGATGAAAGTGTTGAACAGGTCAACCACAAATCATCTCTTCTGGGTTTTTTATGAGCACTAAAGTTTCCTCTCTGCTTAGAGAAAACAAAAAGCGAAGTTGCATCATCATATAAACGTACCTCTTTTTAAAGGTTTCAAGGGAATAAGCCCGACTGAGAAACAAAAGATTTTTGCTACATGTGGTTTGGATCAAAACTGGACTCATCAGATCCTGATGTGACAGAAATCCTGGTAACCACAGAAGAAAGATCCGTTTGAAGTCAGAACAAAAATTCCTTGGTTTAGAATTTCGTATTGAGAACACGGGTCACGTCCTCTCTTAGGTCAGGCGTTTCCTCCCCATCTGTCTCCTTTTTGTCCTTAAAAACCTTCAGGATGTCACACGACTGAGGAACCAGCTGATGATTGAAAATCAGGTCCACCATCCAGGACACTAAAAAAATGCACGTTAAAGAAGAGAACATGGCAACTGTCCTGTATGGAAAGTATTGTGTGATAACATTATTCTCCTCCCTCCAACCAGGGTACAGTAGCAGAGGGGGTATTTCAAGTATCGGCTCCCCGCTCAGCCCTCGCAGCAGCAAACCCACCACAAACCCACTAATAGCACCATAAGTGTTCACACGTTGGAAATGCAGCACACAGACCAGCTGAGGGAAAATCGCGACGTAGATGAGGTCCCCGCTTAAAATCCACAGAGCCGCAACACTGTCATCACCAAATGCCAGGCCAGTTCCTGCTATGCCCACGAGCAGCACACTAACACGGATCACCCACTGCAGCTCCCTCTCCGAGGCCTGAAGTGCAGGAAGGAAAAATCAATAAGAGGCACAGAGTGGCTTTGTTTAATGCTGAATCAAAACACACCCACTTGCTTCCTCAGAGTCGCCCTATAAATGTTTTGTGTAAACATAGACGCAGAGGACAACAACGCGGAGTCCATGGAGGACATAACAGCTGCAGCCACAGAGCCGATCCCCAGCACCCCGACCCAGGTCGGAGTAAGGTTTTGCAGGGCAAGCGGCAGGATCTTCCCCGCATCTCCTCGTTCAAAAGGAGAGGGGAGACCGTAAGCTGTCTGGTTCCAGTCTGAGGGATACGGAGGAGAAGGTTTTGCAATGCTCATTTTATTATTATCTATAATTTGAGTGTGTTAGAGTACCTGCAGAGGCAGCCATGACTCCAATGATAACTGAAGGGATTCCCATAATGAACACAGTTCCTGCAGCAGCATAGCAGGTGATTTGAGCCTGAACAGAGGAGGCTGCAGAGAGGATCCTTTGGTACAGAGCTTGATATGAGAGTCCACCTAAAGCCTGGAGCATCAAAAACAGGTTAGGCAGGAAAACCGGTGCTTAATCTAACAGTGTAGAGGGTTTCTCCTGCAGTTTTCTTCATTTTAAGAGCAAAAACAACTTGTGATGCAACAAAGAGAGAAAAAATATTAATTTTCAAAACTTCACAATTACCAGGAGCAGAATCTCGTCGACCCATTTTCCAGAATCTTCCAGCTCCAGGCGTCCTAACCAGGCGTCTCCGTGTGACTGGTTAAAGGGGGCAGTTTGTGAGATGACATTAACTGCAGGACTTAGCACCAAAAAAGGAACACAGAGCCACTGAAAGAGCAAAAACAACCAAATTAATCCATCAGTCTCTAGTCCGAAATTTATTTTTCCCATTCCCAAATCAAACTTCAGGCCAATCTATTCTGCAACAATTCACTTTTCATCTCAGTTTTACTTGTATTCTTACTAGGCTGACAAAAATAAAGCAGAGCTGGATAATATCAGTATATGCTACTGAGTAGAGGCCTCCTAGGAATGTGTAGATGATGGAGACAGCAGCTGAGATGATGATGGAGATGGTAGATGACAGTCCAAGGATGATGCTCATTGTTCCACCTGGAAACCGTGAAATAACATCATATTTCACAGAAGTAGAATACAGAATGCATTTTTGTGCACGTGCTCTCATCCTCTAAGAAAAGTAAGAGGGCTTTGAAAGTGTAACTTAAAGCAGTGAATAATTTCTCATTTTTAACCATTAAAAAACATAATTATATTTTGTCCACCTAAGAACTGGTGGGTTAAAATGATTTATTTTTTTATATTTTTAATAGAAATATAAAATGTGTATATTATGATACTTACATAATTCTGTGTCGAATTATGCCACAAAAATGGAGACAGAGTGTTATTTACCCAGAGCAGCGAGGATGCAGGCAACCCATAATATGTCGCTGAGCAAAGCAGGAATTAGGATTATTGCAGTAAACGCTTTGCCATAATGTTCCTGAAACGGGTCCAACATGGTGACATAACGCTTCGACCTCATTGGTTTAGCAAAGAACAATCCACCTGTGAAAATAAAAATATTTAAACTAAAACCATCTTTTAATAACTTTGGTTTAGTCTTTCAATTGATTTGTGCGCAATCTCATAGAATATTGCAAGATATCACACAATCTAGCACTTAAAGATTGGTTTATGAAATGGCTACACCAAATTTAAGCTCAATATCAGCTAAATTGACAGTTACAGCCATTTTTGTGTTTGATAAAGTTGCTAGTGATGGCGCAGTAATACATTTTTCAGTATTTTATTTATTCCATTTAAAATCAGTGATGTTATTCATAAGATACTGTGCTGGGGAGAGAAACAAACACATTTCTTTCACCTTTTACCAACAAACACCTTTCTCAGTGGCCTAGTGCCCTGAGACTGGGAGATCAGGGGTTCGATTCCTGGTCGGGTCATACCAAAGACTTTGAAAAAATGGGACCCAATGCCTCCCTGCTTGACACCTTAAGGGGGTTGGATTGGGGGGTTAAACCACCAAATGGTTCCCGAGCGTGGCTGTGTCTGCAGCTCACCGCTCCCCCAGGGGATGGGTCAAATGCCGAGAACAAATTTCACACACACACCTGTGTGTGTGACAACTAATGGGACTTTAACTTTAACTTTAACATTTAAGAACACAAACATAGACAAAACAAGATGATCCTGCTGCTAATGTGCAAAAAAAGGTTGATAATTACTTAGTCGCCTCAACAGAAACAACCAAACAGACCAACCCTTAAAAGTACAAATACATAAACTTTACAGCTCAAGTCCTATTCTGTAAAATATGGTCAGTCTTTACTTATTCATTTGTAGACATTTAAAGATTTGGGAAACTCGTTTAATCAATACATTTGTGGTGGTCTCTGCAAGAATGAATGCTTGGATCAGCACAGACAAGGCTGCTGCTGCAGAGTGTGGCAGCTTATTTCCTGACAGTTTTCACTTCTTGCCTCGGACTGGAAAACAGAAACACGACTCTACCACTGACTTGCAACGTTGATGTTTTATCTCCACAAATAACACAAGCCTGGAGGAGTTCTGCCATGTGGTGAAGTTGCTAATGCTAACAGCTAGCTTTTACTAAACGGGATGTTGTCTGTTGTTTCTTGGAAGCTAAAACGACAACCTTCCCTGTTGCGAGCCAAGACGGGTGAGTCCATGAACGTTAAGTGACAGTGTGGCGTAGATCTGTCAGGCTTTTCAAATCCAAGAGTTTCACCGTCTATTTTCTCTTAGACGCTAATGCAGGAGAGGAGATAGGTTCATGTTCAGTTTGCATGGAAAACTCACAGTGACCAATCATGATCAGAAATAATCATTATAAATGCTTTTTCATTGAATTGCAACTTTAAACATTTTCTGGGTGTCTTTTAGTGTCTTCATGACAAACAATCACAAGAGCCTTATCTAACCAGTGAAGAATATGTCTGGTTAATTCCTGGAACGCTTAAACGCTTTGTGCTGAAAACCTTCATCTTGCTGTCATTAAGCAGAGGTTTTGTTTGTTTTGTCTACTTACCCAGAAAAAAACATACGGCATATGCTGGGAGCCCCAAAGCCCAGATGAGTCCTTGAGATGGAGAATAAACAGCCTCAGCAGTTCCCATAATATAGCCTCCACCGACCCATGTTGCTAAAAACAAAACAGAGCCATAAAATAATGGAGAATTGGAGCACATTCAGAACATTTCACTTTGATAATAAACTGTTCTACCTGTCATGGTAAAGATCCCCACCAGAACATTGATATTCCGACCACCGACGATGGAGATTTCGCTCTTGGTGCCGGTGCACGCTTTTTCAACCTTCCTGGACTTTCGAGACCCCCAGACTCCGATCCCCAGGATGCAAATATAAAAAACGATCACCGACACCAGTCCAGGGATGTCCACAGCCATGATGGCCTGATTACAGAAAAGATCCCACGTCCATCATTTACACACAAGGAGAACAATCTTTATCATTAATGTGTTTAGAAGAATCAGCTGATGAATTAAACCATAAACATTTAAATTAGATCTGCACTCAAAAAATGACTTGTGGCTATAGTAAACGCCAGCTAAAACTGTAATTAATGTAAAATCTAACTAATATATTTAGTAAACTCTACTCAAAAATCCAATCCCATTTTTGGACTTTTGAAGAGTGGGTTGAGTCCTTTAGGATGTTTGTGTTTTTTTTTTTGAAGGCAGCAAGTGATGAAGATGCCATTCAGGGCAGGAAGGTGTGTTTTTGTTGTTTTTACAGGATTACTGAAAGGCCACCCAGCCCCCATCGTCCCCTGTGGCCAGAATATTCACTTGCAACTTTAGACTGGAGGGCCGCTCTGTTGGGACTTAGAAATATTTGAGTTGACACACCTGGCGCTGCTTCCAGCACGTTTCCTGCACGTTTTAGATCACGAACACAGCTGATTTGTTGGATTAAAGTGTTAAAAAGACAAACGCACCACAAGAAGATAGGCTTGGGTTTTGGTTTTACAAACGGACACTAGGGGGTGCTAAAAGCAAGCCAAACTGCCTAGTTCCCTTTTGAAGAACAATTGTAAAATTGCAAATGTTATTTATAAAAACAGTTAAAAACAAATCAAATCAACATAAACATAAGAACAGGTTACCTTAAAAGTGAAGCTTTCATTGACTTTGTGTAATAAAAGTACATAGACATTTACATTAACAGTAATGCTTCCTTTTACAGTCCCCTAATTACTAAGTACTTGCATGGTAATTACATAGCAAGTTAAAGTGTATTATTGTTTCTGAGTTCTTAAACAACTTAAGTCAAATTTTTAATATTTCATCTGTTTATGAAAATGTATAATTTTATGACTTATTTTTTTCTGATGTTATTCTAATTCTGTTTTGAGAGCATTTTGATTTGATGATGTTAATCTATTTATGATTTTATGACTTTGTTTTATTTTGCTTTGATCTATGTGAAGCACTTTGTGATTCTATGTCTGTGATGAGTGCTGTATAAATAAAATTTACTTACTACTTACTTACTTGTTTACAGCACCCTAACTATTCCCCATCCTCCCTGATTCTCATACAACCGCAAGTGAAATGATCCCAGAAAATTTCTCTCCTACAGTATTCACCCACAACACACTAGAAAATGATTAAATGGGAATTAGTCTACAAATTTATAACCCTTAGCTGCCTCTTAGGAGTTTGGACTGCTCAGTTAAAAATTTACTCCAGATTTCTTTCTTCTTGTGTGGCTTTTAGATCCAGTAATTTTCCAGTAGATTTTTATTTTTTAGAACACATTTCCAGCAGTTAAAATCTCTGAAGAACAAAACGGAGCTTAACTTTGCTACTCATTCTACTCTCTTCTAATTTATACTTCTAACTAAATTTAATAATAATTATTTACTGTAACAAGCTGTGGCATCAAGGACACTTAAATTGTGAATAAAAATGATTTTTTAGGTTTAATGGTCTCAAATGATGTCCTTTTCTGTTATAGTAATACTATTGAAATGCAGTTTAACCCTCTCAGGCTCAAAATAAGTTAAAAGGATGAACAACTAAGCCCTTCAGGGGTACTTCTGAGTTAAAAATACGTATGTGGAGTAACCAGGTAGGTAGGTTTTAACGTTGCAAATCTGCAACGCCTGCGTCCAGAGAGTTAAATAACTGAATGATAACAGTTAGCATGTTTCTGCTGATTATCAAGAGCTGTTCATCTTGACGTTGATGTGAACTTTAAACATACTGAACAGTATTTCCTTTCACTCTCCTTCAAGGTTAATTATAGTTTCTTATCATTGTTTATCAGTTATTATTACAAAACGGATGATCCTTCCAGAAGTATGTTTAAAAAGGATTTAAAAGATATTAATTAACCTGCTAAACTCTTAAAATAATGTGCAAATATTACTTTACCAATATTTTGATGAAGATGTAGCTTTTTCGTTATAATTTGCAACAATGATCTACGACAAAATGTTGTAAAGCTAGTATTAACCCTATGATACTGGGGTATTAATTTAGTAAGTTTGAAAATAAATCCAAAACGTAATGGACAGCAGAGAAAGGGCGTCTGGAATTATAATATCAAGTCCTTAATATCACGTTCTTCCAAACGTCGAACACTTTGCCCCAAGCAGCTTGTCACTTTGCACCTTTCTGTTTAAATCAAGAGAGCTCCTCAAATGAGAAGTGAATCATCCTCAGAAATAAATAAACAAGTCCAGATGTTGTTTAAGAAATCTGAGGTTGAAATCCACTGGACGACTGAGAATCTACACCAGCACTTATTAACGGTACTTTCACTACCGAGCACAAAGTTAAAGGCTGCTCAGTCAAACGACATTTCCCAAAATGCTTTGTCCTTGAAACTCAAATCAGATTCCATCAAATCATGACCTCGAGTAAATATAAATCTGAGATGAACCGACCTAAATGAGCCACACCTTATTCCTTAGTGGACTTCAGCCTAACAAAGATAACGACGCAAGGTCAGTCTGTACCACCTGACAGCCTCCAAGCAATTCCTCTGTTGACTGAAAACATGATTATTATCCTTTGATCCATTTTGCACTGCTTACTTTGTACTAAGTTGTAAAGATCTCATTTATAGCTTTGGTAAAAGTTTTACTAAACTGATTTTTAACTGTGGTCACAGATTTAAAAATTAAAGTGCTGGCCTTTCCTTAAATGTGGTGAAAAGGAGTTAAGTTTTTTGGTTGACTGTGCTTAAGTAAGACGAGAGGGACGGTCCCGTCTTAACGCACAGAGATGATGACATACAGTATAGTTACCCGCATGCGAGGCAGCATTAGAAAGCTGTTTAAAATACCTCAAAAGCAGGTGCATAATAGGGGTGGGTGATGTTTTGAATATACTCTGTATTATGACTGATCATACCACAGCCACTGAGTGCACTCTGCCCACCAGGAACAAGTCTGGATGGATGAAAACGAGGATATGAAAAAGTAAAGAAACGTTATAGACTATCCATCTGTGTCCAGCTGCTTATTCTATGTCAGGTTGCAGAGGAAATATCAAAATGGAGAAGCATCATTATGGTTCCCGTGCTTCATAGGGTCTGCTGTACAATGTTGCCGTAAGTTCTGCATCTTCACCAGTAACTCAGATTACTCTTAATATGACGGAGTGGTTCTACATACTGTAGATTCATATATTCATCTCATTCCCTATTTTAGGTATGAATGCATGAATTTAGGTATAAATGAGTAAAAAAAAAAAATACAGAGAGAAATGCATTTGAAATGCTTAACCCTCTGGAGGCAGGCGTTGCAGATTCGCAACAGTTAAAACCTACCTACCAGGTTACTCCACATATGTATTTCATGAGCATTTTTTAACTCCGAAGTACCCCTGAAGGACTTAGTTGTTCATCCTTTTGTCAAAACTTATTTTGAGCTCGAGAGGGTTACATCCAGGACATATTTCTGCCATCACTTTTAGCAAAGCCAAAGGAGAATTTTAAGAAAGTTTAAGGGGGAGCTGGTGGGGGGCAGACATACAGGAGGAGGGGCCCTAGCCCCACCTGTAGATGTGCCCCTGATGCATGAAATGCCAAGGAAGTGCTATAAATCTTGTATATGGGGTGCATATTTTTATGTATTGATTTGGTCTCATCATATGCATAATACGTTTAAATTGCCCTAATTACAGTTACATTGATCGCATTAAAACTGCGCTATTTTTTACGCACACGCTTTACTAACAGAGCAGGTGTAAGCAACTTCCACTCAGAGAGCTTTATTCACGCTCTGGTCTTTAAACCCAACCGTGAATGAATTATTTCTCTGTATTTCTGGACACAGCACTTATCTCCAAGTGTAACACAGTCAAGTCTTTCACCCAACACACAACCACAATCAAACTTTTAAAATCACTCACCCTTAGTGTATCCCTCTCTGTGGCACAAATATCCTTCTCCACTCAAACGGTTTTTGTAGTTTAGCTTATTATAAAACTGTTTTCACATCAGTCCGCGCTTTCATTTTGTAGTAAAACTCTTAAGGCTTCTGTCATTGTCTCTGCTTCACACAGCCAACATGTTAACGCGCCCCGACAAAATAAAAGCGGTGAACAGAAGCAGTCTTCGCGTAAGGGAACGTTTTAGAAAAACGGGTTTGACTTGAACGCACCTTGTAGCTGGAGGCGAAAGACCGACCAAGGTGGATGCTCCTGGCTCATGCTCTGTTTTTAACCCCTGGGAGACAGAATACGGTCAGCTAAAGCATTTCACGACTGTCCTTCATACATATTTAACTTTGAATCCACGTTAAACTGAAAAACGAAGCTGGAAAGGTGACACCCTCGCCGTACACAGCTGCTGCACGTCATAACAAACACGCGAGGAACCAGATCTACATCTTAAAACTCATGTCGAAGAAACACGCAAGCCAGGAACGAGTAGCCTATGCTCACGTTAATAATAGTAGGTGATTTGTGCCATGCACAGACAAAAAAATAATCATGGAAAAACTGAAAGGGACGTGTCTCGTTTCCCCATTTTTGTTTATTTTTTCTTTTGACTTTATACATTACATATAAATTTAAAAAAGTGAACCCAACATTATTATTTTTAAATGATCATAAGAGATTATTATTATTATTTGGAACCTTAC